GCTTCGTCCCCTTCCTCACTCCACTCCCATTCCTCCTCTTGCCTCCTCATCCCCCTCCGTCCTGTTCCTCTCTCTACTCCCCTATAGCTCTCCACTCCCCTGCCACTCTCCACTCCCCTGCCCCTCGCTACTCCCCTGCTCACACTCAGCCACCTCCCCATACTCAACCCCCTGCCCACACTCAAACCCCTACCACTACCTTCATCCCCTTCCTCCCTCCGCCTCTTGCCTTCCCCTCGCGTCACCCTCCGCCTTTCCATCTCCTGCCCCTTTTCCCCCATGCCCTCCGCCTCCGCCACCTGCTGCGCCTGCAGCGCCCTCAGCTCCCGCCATCTCCTCTTCATCCACGCACTCCGCGCGCGCCTCAGCGCATCGGAGCAAGGCTTTCGCGCCACTAAGCGCGGCCACTCCCCCCCCTGTTTCCTGCGGCTCTTCGCCCTCCTCTTCCCCTCAACCGCCTCCTCTTCTCCTGAGATCCCTCGCTTCCGCCTTCCGCCTACGGCTTTTCCCCCAAACGCATCTCTTCCCCCCCGCGTTTCTGTTCCCCCCGCCGCTTTTCTCCCACCCGCTACCTCTCTGCCCACCCCCCTCTCTCTTCCCCCCGAACCTACGTCTACAGCACGCATGGCTCCCCTCCCTTTTCTCCCTCCCCCTCCCGCCTCTCTCCCATTCTCCTCCCGCTGCCGTCCTGCCGAAACTTTCCCCTGCTCTCTCGCGCGCGGCATTTGCGTACCTTCTACCAAATATTCTTCCCCGTGCTCCTCTCTCCCCCTCAACTCGCTCCGTTAACCCGTTCCTCCGCTCCGGTCCCCGTCACCAACCTGTCTTTCCCGCCTTGCTTCCCGAGCTGCCTCCGCTCCCTTCGCGCTTATCACCTCCCTTGAGCAATGCCCGCCCTCGTTCCGTTCCGCCCCGCGCCGGGAACCGCGGGCGGGAAAAGCACCGCGTTCGTTACAAGATACCGCTGCTCCCAGCACACAGCGCGTTCGTGTCGCTAAACTGTTCGCCGTTGCAACGAGAACCACGGAATCGCTTTAAACCAGCGTGCGGGGAAGAGCGCACTGAGTCGAATGTGCAAATCTGGTCCTAAACGGGTGCTCAAGAATGGCAATCCCGGTAATTCGATGGCCGTCTCGCCACCACACTGCAGCTACGATATATTTCTATGCACCCTATGAAGAGGCGACCAAACTAATCTACGAGCGATTCTAAGAGTAACCGAACCTGATCCAAGTCAGATTATAGCGTCCCCTAACTGGCTTGAGACCTCTCAGGAGCGAGCACTTAGGACGACTTCACGATGTATGCTGCTGCTACGGACGTCGTGCGCTACTACTGAATCACGTGGAGAAACAGAGGGTGGCGCTGAGTCATCGTCATACGCATTTGGGAATCGGAGAGCGTTAGTATTAGAGCGGAATCTCTTATCAATTGCGCTCCTTGCTCATGGCGGAGGAGCAGGAAACAATGGCACGAGAACGATCCATTTTCTTTGGAACTGGAAAATCTGTCAACTAATCTGACAAATCTGCATTACGGGTCCTTGCTAAAATGTAACGTATTTTTGGCAGAAAACATTAAGAGTTCACAGCTCATTTACAGGTAGCATATCATAGGTATATCAAATGCAAAGTTAAACACACAGAAAAGGGGGGGGGGGGAAAAACCTAACAGGCTGCCAAGGCTCAATACTCCCCCTGAGCTTACCGGCACCAAATCCACAACACACGAACACAGTGGCCACTGAACCAGGTCACATCATATCCGGAAAGGTATTTCCCCGGTTAATATTCGAGCGACCTTGCGCCACCATGGCAGCACGGGCCTGCATCAACCCTGCCGGATGCAGCGCTTGATCCATTACTCCCCACCCAGACATGTCACAGAACCGGTTATCAACTTGCGCTGACGGCCCTTCGGCAGCGGCCGTGCGACCGCAACCACCCGCATAGTAATGGGCATTCCTTCTGGCGATATCGCCTTGTCCGGGGACTACTTGCGTATCCTCCATCTCGTAATCAAACGGGTTGCTCCGCGGCTCATGTTGCCCTAACTTGCTCTGCTGGTGCCGTCTCGACGACCGGGACTGAACCCCTCCGCCGGGCCCGCTGCTCACTTCATCCTCGCTATCGGAACTTCGCTGTTGGCTGTAAGCCGCGTCTGGCTGAGCCTGAACGCTGCTCTCACACGCAGCACCAAACGGACCGTTGGCACGAGGCAGGGAAGCGCCGGAACGACGCGCGGAGCGGACGCAATCCAGCGAGCTTCGTCGGAGTGATGGGTCGTCGTGAGGCGCGTACATGGCTGCATAATCATTGCCGGACGGGCCACCTTGTTCCTCTTTAACCGTGGACTGTCTCCCCGCAGCAGAGCTTCGGCGGTGAGACGGCCGTTCAAGCTCCTCCAACTGAACGGACTTCCGTCGCGGCATAGCGGCTGGTGACGGAATGTCTTCTTCCATCGGAGCAGGTGCCTCGGACTCCTCTGGCGAAGCGAAGGTTGCCATCGCCTTCTGCAGCTCTAGGCGCTGCCTTTGTGAGCGGTCTTTAGCGAGGAACCGAAACATGATTGCTATCTGTTTCTAAAGGGGATGAGGGGAGAATGTGATGAATAAAGCTATCTCAACGCCGACTAGGCCTGCGAAAAGCAAATCTTGAGTACCGCCAATAAATTGATGAAATGTTGCTAGTTAAACACGACTGGAAAATTGACTAAGCTGATGGTGACTACCAGAAAGTTCTAGCACCTAAATAAGTAGTAAGGAAATCGACAAGCGAAGTGGGGTTTACTGATTTCGCCAGAGAGAATCGGCCAAGGGAGAAGAGGGTCTCTCAGTCAGTCACAGCCGCAGAGGTAGACAGGTTAGCGTAGTGCCACAGAGGCCCACACACGGGCACAGGTAGCTGGCGCTGGCAGGATGAGGTGGCTGAAGGTGGCCGAAGGGGTTTCGAGAAAATCAGGAAATTCGGTGAGGGGTTGGCTGGATGCTTGCTGGGTTTGTCGTTGCGGAGATACAAGGGTTTCGTTCTGTTCCCTAGAGACATGCCACTGGCGGAGCATGTCCGCTCTGCTGCCGCTGTGATGCGATTTCGTGACGGTGTAGCACGTGATGGGGAATGTGATGGGAAGTCAGCGAATCCTCTCAGCAAATCGCCACTAATCAGCGGTGAGCTGGCGAGCAGTCGCAAGGAACGGCTGCAATTCTTTTACGGAACATCGACGGTTGTGTAATGCAGGGTTTGTGTCGAGATGCTTCGTAGGAACTGCTGTGGTTCTGCCATCCAAACTATTCGCTGCCCGTTCCCAGGTGGGTTAATCGATACTGATTCCATTAGACCTGGCAAGAAAATGCTGCAGCCGTGGCTTCATTGTGAGCACCCACGCCAACGAGTGCAAGATAGGCACAGATATTTGCCAATTCACGGAGGTTCTCAGAAATTAAAATAGTGGGATACGCACCAGCAATAAACACGGTCAGGAGTGAAAGCAAGCTGGCAGAAAGAAGTCAACAATAACCAAGGGAGCCCCCGCGAGAAAATGAATCGAGCTGCTTCCAGCATGTTACAAGACATGGATTACCGTATGGCCCCGGATAAAAGCGCATATGCGCTTATAATAAGTTAATTTTTTTCAAGGGTGGCGCTTGTAATTGAGGAACGGCCATAAGCGCCGGCGCTTATATAATGACAAATACAATTTTTATCTTTAAAGGTACCAAACTGTACCTTTCGTTGTAGCCATTTCAAACGAGTCGAACTATTATAGCGTCACAAAGCAGAATCGCGCGCAAGCGATTCTGCTTCCTGTACACGGGCAAATTCGCGTCACTTTGCAGGCATGCCAGCACATCCTGACTGGACGCGCAGACAGTCAGGTCTTCGCGAGTCAAACAAAGCGAAAATGAAATTTGACTCGCTGCAAAACTGAAATTCGTTACCGATTTAAACTGATATTTAAATGAAAATTGCACACGGCGCTTATAATAAGTAATGGTTTTCCATGGGGGGCGCTTATAATCGAGGATCGGCCATAAGCGCCATGCTCCAGATAGAAGCGCCGGCGCCTGTAATAGGCCGGCGCCTATATCCGGGGCCATACGGTACTGCAATAGAATTCAGATTGTGGGATTTATTGAGAGGCAGCTGAAGCTGCATTTAGTTGAGGCTGCAAAATGAACCATCTATCACTGAGGCTGTGATTTTTTTCATTTGCATTTGGTATGCACGTTAAGAAAATTGTGTGTTTCCACCGTGAGGATCGTGGTTGATGGTATGCTCATAATCAGGGAGATTTCTATTACTTATGAAGGCCTATAATACAGCTCACGTGAATTATGGGGTTAATTAATGAGCCACAAGGTTTAAAAGGCTAACAGCTATAACTTGTTTACTGTACTGTATGATTTCTTTGGATAAGAATTGGAGCTGCTTGATTTATGCCGTTCTTCCAGGTCAACAGGAGTCATTAAACCCTCGTTGTTGCGTGTTCACGTGAATCAGGTCGTCGTCAGCTCCATACTGGGTGTACAAGTACTTTGTCCAGAGAGCATCAGCGCAGTCATGCCAAGCTCCCAGCCAGTAGAGAGGCGAGGGAGATCCACGTTGCTAGCCAGCTTGGCGAAATGCATCCCCGTCAGCTTTGGAAAATCGCAAAATTCGCCCACCAACCACCTCTGGTTCGACCTAACCACGCCCACCGCACCCAACCCCGCCTTTCTCTCCGCCCGTTTCCTTGCACCCACCTGTTCTCTCTCCTTCCCACGCCTTCTCTTCCCTCCCTCGCTTCCCACACTACCCTTGCGCATGTTATAAACTACTGCTAGTCCCCTGGTACTCTCACTCGCAGTAGTTCCATAACACGAGCCATCGTAGCCCCCACTACTCAACTCCACCTCGCGGTCACTAACAGTCGCTTATTTGAATCGCTATAGCTGCATTAGACCTCACTACAACTAGCCTCATTGGTGCTCGCATTGTCAGCCATTGAGATACAGACCAGGAATGGGTGAGAATATACCATTGACGAGTACGACTTCCGAGACCGAAGGTGCGTACTCCCCCCCCTCTCTCTTCGAACACGCTCCGCCCGCCGAGCACGCGGAAAAACACCAGCACGCGGAGCAATGGGCGCAAGACGGCGATATCAAGATCACAGTATCCGAGCACCTCCTGTCGCACGCCGTCGATTCCCCTCCGCTGAAGTCCAAACCGCAGGAAAAGAAGGCTGAAGCTCGAAAATCTGCGGCGAAAATTCCTCATCAGAGCTTCGACGATTCGACGGCTGGCGGCTGGAACGATTTTGACAAATCTTCCGCCATTTTCAATTTCAACGAGCGCCCCGTGCGCGACGCGGAATGGATGTTCGTCTTCGCCGTGCCGCTCGTCGTCCTTTTCGTTGCGGCCCTCCACGCTTTCGTCTACTCGCTTTACGAATCCTCAGGCCCCCTCCTGATTTCTCCCTCCCTCTACCCGGTTGCCTTGATTCTCCTCTTCGCGTTCAGCCTTCCCCTCCCCATGTTGATCGTCTCTTCTCTCCGCAAAATCCCCGCTCGCGTCTTGAGCGCGCTCTTAATTTTCGCCGCCGTGATCTGTGCCCTGCAAAGCGCCACCTCCGCCGTGCATTACTACACGACGCCCGCGCTCGTGCCGCCAAATGCGGCGGACGTAGCCCCGGTGGTATACGCGCCAGTCCGCGATGGCTCGTCGAGTGACTTTTCCGTGAACACGGACGTTGCGGAAAGCGCGGAGGGGGAGAGCGAGAAGACTACAGACGAAATGATAGAAGCGGCTATTGAAGCCTCAGAAGGGGGAACGGAAGGGAGAACGGAAGGGGGTACGGAAGGGGGTTCGGAAGGGGGAACGGAGGGGGCGATGGGGGATTACGTAGATGTGCAGGAGGACCCATCTGAAGCGGCGGTGAGCATCGCTGATGATGCGGCAGCCGAGGTAGCGGCAGCGGCAGCGGCAACGGCAGCGGCAGCTCCTAGCGGCAGCAGCAGCAGCAGCAGCAGCAGCGCTGCGGCCACGAGCGACCTCGGCAGGGGCCTCCTGGAGCTCACACTGCCCGCTGTCGCACACCCCGTGGTAACCGTTACCGCACAGCACGTCGCCCACTGGGCGCGCGCCGCCCACTCCGCCGCCCACCAGCATCTCCAAAGCCACGCGTCAGACGCGAGGAAGAGAGCGCGTGGGCGGTCCTTGCAAGGCGAGAATCGGCGAGACGTGGCGCTGTATTACGCAGATCTCATAACCCGTCCTCTCTACTTCATCGCATTCGTCGTCTTGGGGCTGCTCAGCGTCGTCGCCATGCTCCTCGTGCTACGCTGCAACCACCACCTCCCTCTCGCTGCCTCTGCCGTTGCGCACGCTGCTCATACGGCCATCGTCCAGGCCCAAGTCATCTTCTTCATGCCACTCCCCATCATGCTTGCAGCTTTGTTCCTGGGCCTCCCTTTGATGTATAGCCTTGAGGGTGATACTAGTGACATCCTCTTCGTCCTCCTGCTACCCACCTCTCTCTTCGTTGTCCAAGTGCTCTCAGCTCTCCTCACCTACTCCACAGCAGCTGTTTTCGCCCGGCTGTACGTCACGACCAGCGGCGGCAGCAGCAGAAGTAGCAGCGAGGGCAGGAAGGCGGGTGAAGGTGAAGAGGGCGTAACACTGAGAGGCCAGCTAGAGCTCTTCTCCTCAGCCTTCTCCCTGGCTTGCACCTCATCCCTGGGCACCTGCTGTGCCGTTGCCATCACCTCCTGTGCCGCCACCGCTGCCAAACTCCTCCTCTCCTCCCTCTTCCTCGCTCTCTTCGGCGAGAGCATCCTGGGCTGCCTGCTGGTGGCTCTGCTTCACTGCACACAGATTGTCATCCGGTTCTTCCTCAGCTGCCTCGTCCTCCCCACCGCTGCCATGAGCGGCCATGGCTTCACCCGCTCTCTGCGCCTCTCTCTCGACATCCTGCAGCGCTTCCTCGCGCCCATTGTCACGGCCAATGCTGCTGGACTGGCCCTGCTTACCATGCTGGTGGTTCCCATTGTCATCATTTACAACATCGTCGGGCTAATTGGGGTGAGTATGCTCTGTCCCTACATGCTTCTTCTGTGTTTGTGCACGATTCTCCACAGGCCATCCTGCATGTTGACTCTCCTCGTATAAAGAACATTTGCAACAGGCGTGTTATTCTGACATGGATTCCTTATCGCCTCTATCCATATGCAGGTCTTTGTTCAAGGGGCGTTGTTTCCACTGGGAAATAGTCCTATGCAGCTAGGGGGTCTAGCTGTCCTCATGGAAGCATTATTAATTGTTTTTGTGGTTTCTCTTCTATCCGTTGTAGCACTCGCCTCCGTCCTCACAACAGGGGTTGCCACTTCAGTGCTGTGTTTTGCCTGGGACAAGAAGCTTGAGCCAGAGGAGGGCTCTGATGGTGCTGGCTTGGTTGGTGATGAATCTGGTATATCCTTTGCAGATGTCAAGGATACTTGTCCGGTGTAGAAGGGTGTAAATTCCCCAACCGATAAGATTGGTTGTGTTGTGTGCTTATACCGTATGGCCCCGGATATAAGCGCAGGCCTATTATAAGCGCATGCGCTTGTATCTGGAGCAATGCGCTTATGGCCGATCCTCATTTATAAGCGCACCCCCTGTAAAACCTTGATTTATTATAAGCGCACGCATAATTCTAAAATTTAAACCAGATTAATGTTGAGAATATGTTTGTATGCTTTTATTATAAGTGCACTGTTCGAAGTGTGCTTACAATGGCTCGCCATAGCGAGGGATTTGAACCTGATGGCCGTCAACGGGTCGCAACCGAGCACAGCGGTTGCGACCCGCGTGGCAGCTCAAGAGTCGAATCGACAGCAGGAGTCATCGTCTACAGTACGCGAAACTGACCTGTGGGGCGCGGCAGGATACCGCGCCCTTGCCGAAGCTGAAAAGTCTCGCCAGTGCGACTGTAACAAGGCAACCCAAGCGACGCAGCGCAACTGTTATACAGTTGCGCCTTGGTAACTGTTTGCCCTATGCGTTTGCTATATAACAGAATGTAATGCCTTGCTCATATCACACAATTCTCAAGCTTGTGTCCGGCCTACCCTCGGCCGCTGCTTTGGCACCATGTTACAAGCCAGGAGAGCTACCTCTGAGTGACCAATAGCCCCGCCGTAGGGACGTCGATAATTCCTAGAGCTTCCGCTGCGCTCTAGCGACTTCTTATTTCCAACATGGTATCACGAGCAAGAGTTCCAATCCTTGGAACCTGTGATAATTTCTACAAATGGGCCCACCACCTGAATCATCACCAGGAGCATCTTCTGGAGCAGGTTCGACCTGCCACTTCCCATGGAGCACTACGTGGAGGAAATCTTCTAACGCACCGTCGCATCATTTTGGGCGACTCAGCAAGACGAATTTCAAGGAGTTACAGCAAAGTCCCTGGCAAGGACTTCACAACTTCAACCCGGCAAGATTGCAGCTCTCCTCGTTTCTACACTTCTAACAGTGGAGGGGAGTGTTGAGAATATGTTTGTATGCTTTTATTATAAGTGCACTGTTCGAAGTGTGCTTACAAGGGCTCGCCATAGCGAGGGATTTGAACCTGAGGCGAGTCAACGGGCCGCAACCGAGCACAGCGGTTGCGACCCGCGTGGCAGCTCAAGAGTCGAATCGACAGCAGGAGTCATCGTCTACAGTACGCGAAACTGACCTGTGGGGCGCGGCAGGATACCGCGCCCTTGCCGAAGCTGAAAAGTCTCGCCAGTGCGACTGTAACAAGGCAACCCAAGCGACGCAGCGCAACTGTTATACAGTTGCGCCTTGGTAACTGTCTGCCCTATGCGTTTGCTATATAACAGAATGTAATGCCTTACTCATATTACACAATTCTCAAGCTTGTGTCCGGCCTACCCTCGGCCGCTGCTTTGGCACCATGTTACAAGCCAGGAGAGCTACCTCTGAGTGACCAATAGCCCCGCCGTAGGGACGTCGATAATTCCTAGAGCTTCTGCTGCGCTCTAGCGACTTCTTATTTCCAACAATTAAAACGGTAGCGATTTCAAATTTTGCAGTGAGGATACAACTATTTTCGCTTCGATTGACTTTCGAGGACCTCACATACTGCGCGTCCAGTCAGTATGAGCTGGCATTTCTGATAGTGACGTGTAAATTTTCCCCTGTGCGCCGGCAGAAAATCGCTCACGCGCGAATCTGAATTGCGACTCGCTACCACTTCGATTCGATTGAAATCACAAGAAGGAGATGTACAGTTTGGTGCCAATGAATTATAAATTTGCATTTGTTATTATATAAGCGCATGCGCTTATAAATCTGACTCAATTATAAGCGCACCCCCCCAAAAAACACTGTTTTATTATAAGCGCAGGTGCGCTTATATCCGGGGTATTACGGTATGGTAATAGATTACAATAAATAAACTCAACTTTGACACTAGGTTATTTACAATAAAGAAACTCAAGTTCGAAATCATCAAGAAGGATGGAATGTGCCATCAGCCCATGAATGATGCAGCTCCAGTATTCTGGAAGTAGAAAACAGGTAGCGTAGCTGATTGGGGATGTTTGTAAGGACTAATGCAACCTACGGTAATACAGGCATCTTTTGGCAGTCAAAGAAACATTGTTTTATGCGCAAATCCATTCCAGCATCGCATCGACATTATCGAGGTGCCCAGCCATTACAAAAGCCGACGAGACCCATCCATCCTTATCATCCAGCTGGGCGAATCCATCCCCGTCAGTTTTGGATATTCGTCACATTCGCTTACCAGTGTCTCTGGCCCTCCATGTTCGACCCTTGCCACGCCCGCTCTGCCATTCCAGCATCGCTCCTGGCTTCGCCCATCTGTCTCTCCCTTTCCTTTCGCGTCCATTCCTCCCTTTCCCCAGCCTTCTGTCGCTATAACACGAATCGCCACATCCCTCATCTGCCACTGCGATTGTGTCGCTACTACCACTTCCACTGGTTTATAACACGAGGCAAGACAACCCCTATCAAATCAACCCCACCCCTCAATCTTGCGTATATAGTAGCATCTCCAAAGTTGCCTGGTTTCCAATACCAATCTCGGTGGCGCAGCCATTCTCAACACCCGTAATCGATTAATTGTCCAGCAAAATGAGTGAAGAGATTCCCCTAACTAGAACGCCCTCCGAGACGGAAGGCTCGTGCTCCCCTCCCGCTGTCGTCAAACTCACGCGGCCCGCGGAACGCGCATCCAGTAGTCCTTTGACAAGTGGCGGCTGGAACAAGCTCGACGAGTCGTCCGCCATTTTCAATTCCACGAGCGCCCCGTGCGCGACGCGGAATGGCGATTCGTCCTCGTCGTGCCGCTCATCGTTCTCGTCGGCCCAGGCTCCTACGCCTTCACCTCCTCTCTCTCCGACCCTCACATCAGCCTCCCATTTTATATTTTTGGAGTTCTGTTTGCACTTCCCCTCCTCTTCGCCTGCAGCATCCCCGTCCCCATGTTGCTCGTCTCGTGGCTCAAACTCCCCGCTATCGCCTTCCGGGTGCTCCTACTTCTCGCCGCTTTGATTTTCGCCGTGATCAGCACTATGATTGTCGCAGATTTCCTCTCAGTGCCCGCACCGCTACATACGGAGAAAAGACCCCCGTCATATCATGCGCCGTTTTCCGAGGAACCCACTGGCGCGCACTCTCCAGGATACAAGTGCGCATTCACTGGCTGCTCTTTGGGCGCGGAAGTTGCGGAAAGCGCGGCGGGGGAAAGCCGGGAGACGAACGAAGGCAATGGCGGGATGATGGCTGGAGAACTGGGAGAGGAAGACGGGGGGAGTGGCATGATAAATGAGTGGATGGAAGGGGACAGGGGGGGGATATGGAAGGGGGAGCGGAAGGTGAGGTGGAGGGGGGTTTGGAAGGGGGCCAAGGGTGTAGGGAATGGCACTCGGGTATGGAAGGGGTGGAAGGGGGTACGGAGTGGGGGACAAGCGATTGTGTGGAAGGAGGAGACAACAGCACGAATGGCGACAACAGCAGCAGCGCTGCGGCCACGAGCGACCTCGGCAGGGGCCTACTCGAGCTCACACTGCCCGCCGTTGCACACCCCGCGGTAACCGTTACCGCACAGCACACCGCCAACTGGTTGCGAGCCGTCCACCCCGCCGTCCACTCCGCCATCCGCCGTCAGCTGAAAGGCCCCGCCGCGTCAGACGCAGGGAAAAGTGTGCGCGGATGGTCGTTGCAAGATGAGCTGGAATCGTTGCTCCTGCTGCAACCCGTTTCAAGCGTCTATCTTCTCTACTTCATTCCTCCGTAGGACACGTTGCGTGCGGAATTTCTGCTTCCGGAATACAGTGTCGCACCGCTCGACCCACAATTGGTGCAATGCAATTGAAGTTAGCGTCATTTCCGGGAAAGCTGAACCGGTTACCGTGCCTCGGAACAGAAGGTCACCTAGCGAGTCCGTCACTCGAGCGGGGTTGAGCATGCGCAGAGCGCGCCGGAGGGCGATGGAAACCACGTGTATTCTTGGGCAGAGTACCAGACAGTGTTCCAGCGTCTCCGGATCACCGCAATACGGGCAGACAGGCTGACTGCTCAAAAAAGCCAGGCGCTCCCCGACTTGCAGATTCAAGCCGTGGACCCTGAGAAGAACGTCCTGCGGACGGCTGGGAACAGCCAGAGAATCCCGGGCGCGCACAACCGCCTTCCAATTGATGCTTTCCCCCCATCCTGCCGCCCATTTCGCCCGCTTGTACGACTCCTTATGGGCGCCTCTCCAACCTTCAGGTGTATGATTTAAAGCTCGCGGCCCAAATTGCGGGGCGCGCTGGCCAAGCTTACTAAGGTTGACGGGGGTGATGTTTTGAGTGCTGTTTGGGTTGCGAAGGGTGGTTACGAGAAGTGAGATGCAATCTGATTGGCCAGATATTTTTTGTCGAATGGGAGAGCAGGGAACAACAACAATATGTTGAGTGCAATTTGGGACTCTCGAAGCAAACCCGGGTTGCTCCCAGGGGTTTGCCGCGTCAACGAAAACCCCAAGGGTCTAGCGCGAAACTGGGCGAAACTACACATAGTCCACGGTATTTTAACCAGGTGAACTTTGTTCTTTCAAACCCCCTTTGTTCGTTTCTGGGTAATGTTATTAGCACCCAGAGTCATCGAGGCTACGATTCTGCAGCCGAAAGCACTTCCGTCTAAGGAACTCACACTTAGTGCTCCAAGATAGACGGAGTGACATTTGTCACACTCGGCAATCACTGAGTTTTTTCTGCCGTCATCTCGCGAAGGGAATGCTAGATTCTACCCTCGTAAAGTTTGAAACAACCTGACTAAATAAGTTTGATCAAGGAGAAGTACCCTCGCGTGGTTAAGATAGCGGCGGTTAAAATACCGCGGACTAGGTGTAAAGAGCTCAACTCCCAACAAGTCAACTTTCTTCTCCCGCCACCCAAAGGTCAACCTTACAAAGGTTGAACAATTTGGGCCGCGAGCTTGTCCTTCTGTAA